AAACTTTTCAATATTTTCATCATTTTCAAACTTTTCAATATTTTCATCATTTTCAAACTTTTCAATATTTTCATCATTTTCAAACTTTTCAATATTTTCATCATCATTTTCAAACTTTTCAAATTCATCTTCGTCGTCTTCTGAAAATACATCCAAATCACTGACATCGTCACCATATACTGGCGCCTCCTGGGCGATGGTGAACACTGGTTTATACTTCTCACTGATCTAAATATTATAATTAATTTATCAAGCGTGAATAAAATTTATAGAAATGAAATAACTAATACAATGTTTATAAATAGAATTATCGTTCTCGAATTAGTGCGGAATTGGTGTGATCGATAATTGAATTGTGAATCCTTGTGATTTTGTAGTCCAGTCATTAATAATAATTGGTTCAATGCAGTATTCGGTAAACCATTGGGATTCACAAAATTTGCAAAATTCGATTGCCGCACTAATCCAAATGAGTGATAATCCAACATACCTCCTCGACTCGCCTACAGAAATCTTCAAAATCATCAGCAGTCCGACAATAGAAACCAAGGAGCATTGAAGGATCAAGATGTGATATATGTATTTTACGTATTGTATCGCAATGAAAAGTTGACAATTCCTAAGGAAACAAAATTAATTAAAGTATAAAATGAAAGGAAAATTAAGGATTTAACTCCTTACTTCTTCGGTATACTCCTCCATTGATTTTAATTCAAGTGCAGGTCTTGAATGATGCGGATCAAGATAATATAGATCATCAGCTGTAAACAGTAATACATATATTTAATATTAAATAATTTTTTATCAAATTGCATGGTACACATAAAACAGTACAAATATACCTTGTGTTGCAACAAAATAATACGATGATGATGGTTTACCACTGTTAAGAATTAAAAATATTAATTAATACACTATTAGAAAATTCATATAAGCATGCCACATATATGATATCTCATACCCCGCTATTCCGACGCTCTGTGGAAATTTAAAACATTCCTAAAGAATTTATTAAATTTATTTATTACAGAAAGGTGGTGAACAAATCATACAAATTGATCTGCAATAAAAAATAAAATTTACCTTGAGCGCATTATGATATATTGGATTTAAATTATTAATTCCTAACCGGATAGCCACTAGAATCAAAACAGACTGAAAATCTTTGCCCGTTCGATTATTTTTACCTGCTTTGTAAACTTCATTCTTATATACCACGCCATCAGTAGCTACATATACACTTAAATGTGCAGCAGGATAATCTTCAACCAAAGCCCTATATAGCACCAAAATTCAGTAACAAGGAAAGTAAATAAAGTTCAATAAATAATCTTAATATTGAAAAGAAAAAAGGATAAGCATAATTCATTCGGAAAATAAAATAATAATTATAATAATAATAATAATAAAAGAAGAAAATTTTATCATACTTTATGGCCTGAGATGCAGTCGATGGGCCAAACCATTCACCAATATTTTTTCCAAGCTGTTTGCCCAATAATGCAACACGATGAACAGAGAATGGGCATTGTGATGACATATCATCAATAAACCAAATAAGAATCTTTCAAAAAAAAAATTACTATAGTTAATTATTAGTTCATATAATAATAGAAATATATAATTTAACTATCTAACCTTTACATAGGTATCCCATGTATCATCTCCTCTAGGTACCCTTCGCCATTCTATTATTAAAAAAAGAAAATCAACAATAATTGCTGCAGACAAATTCAACAATCGATAATTTTGATTAATATATGTAAAGAAACTTACAGACCTCTACCCAAGAATTGCAATATCAACGCATTAGCAAGCAATGATTGCCCTGATCTTAACATGCAGCCCCAACCTCCGTCATTTGTAAAGTTCGTTGGTCTTATAGGAGCATAATTATGTCTATATGTACACCATATCCGTGAAGTGAAATCATCGTAAAACTCTGTAGGAAAATTAGTCGGTGATAATATTGATTGTTGCATTGAAAGGTGCGGAAAGGTACCAGGGGTCGAATAATAATAATTTGATTCGTAGAAAGAACCACTAAATTCATTTGATACGCGCTCGTTATTTGCTTCATAGCGTACACCCATCAACCAAATTGAATTATCTTTGGGAGACTTTATTGCAGGTTCACTTTTGAAACTATCAAACAATCCTTTTTTAAAGCTGGAAAAGTCAGGATCGTCTTTATCAGAAGCATCACCGCTTGTTTCTTGAGGAGAAATCCAAAAAGAACTAAACCAACTTGAGAGCCTTTTGGTTACTTCGCTTGCACCTTCCTCGTTTTTCTCTGTGGTTGAATCGGGTATATTACTACGTCCAGACTTAAGTCTTCGCCTTGGTAACTGAGCAACAACTTGTTCTTGCAATTCTTCACTATCATCGTGTCCTAGATCATTAAATTCTTCGGTGTGTGTCGCAGGAATTTCACGTACTCCGTTATTAGACATTAAAGAGAGGTCTTTTGAATTTTCTTCAAATATAGGATCCTTGGATATTAAAGCTGGTTCAATACTCAAAACCCTAGCGCTAGTGTCATCCATGATACGACAAAAGGTTAGGTAAATTATTCTGGAAAATATTATGACGGGCGTTACGTAAAGCGAAAATCGGCCTCTGAACTACGATCCGAGCCTCCGGATCTCGACAGTCACCAAATCTGATAAAAATTAAAAATTTCTACGTATCTTTATGACACCGAATTTGGTTAGGGTAGTTATCAGTATCTTCAAAGTTTTTGCTACTTCTATTTTGATAGTTTCTTTTTCAAAAAACTTTGAACGAAGTTATCCAGAAAACTAAACTAAATTTAATGAATTTTTTTTTGGCATAATTTGAGGCGGGGTTTGCCTCATTATTTTTATTGGTATATCATGTCCACTACAGTTATAACATACATTAATATTGGTTCACAATCGGAGTTTTACAAACACTCCATTCTTCTAATTAATACTAATTTTTAATTTCCTTTTCTTATTATTATATAAACTACCTTATACTTCTGTAATAGTCGATCTCAAAGAATCAGTCGATACAATATAATATTTACTATATAGTTAAAGTTAAACCTCTTTATAATCACATATTTGGGATACAAAAAATGTGATTATAGTGAAGTGTGACAATTATAGAGGTCAATTTATTATTCGTTCTTATATGTAAAATTGGTTAAAAAGTTTAGTTCTCAAAGAGGTATTATATTACTAATCCGAACTTTATAATAAAATCTACAAATATTTTAGAGTTTTAAGTTCGGTTCTCAGAGAATTTATTAAGGTTCGGATTAGAGAGGTTCAGATTAGGGAGGCGACTGTAATAATTATAAGATATTAGTCATGCAACGATTAATATCATCGCATGATCCAATATCGATGTTATCATGTTATCGTTCATGATTTACAAATCATTATTGGTTAACTAAGTTTTAATTCGAGATTGTTATACACGATAATATATTGATATAGGTTGTTTTTAAAAAAGTGTATTTATTTATAAAAAAAATTTGTTTATATAAAAGGTAATTATAAAAAGGTTGAATAATGCTTTTTATTAGAACCCAGCTTGACAAATGAGGCCTAAACTTATACCAAGGGTAAAGAAATGTGTGAAGAATTCATATCAAGTTTTGTCAGTTATGAATACCAGAATACACTACTGAGAAAACTTATTTACAATAGAACTTGAAAAGAATTAGAAAAAGAAATTGCAAGTGTTATAAGAAAACTTTTTACTATTCTGGAAGAGATTTGGATTAACCTGGCCTTCAATTCTGAACTTGCAAAATCATTAAATAAAAAAATCTACCAATTAACTATTATTTTACAGTCAATTTAAGCAATATTAAAAAATCTACTTTCTAGGTTATCATTATTTATCAGCACTTCAAAACAGCAGAGCATTGCTAGTTCTAATAGAAAAGGCAAAGAGCAGAGAAGAAAATTAGATATTATATTTAGGGAATTGCTATTTCCACCATGGTAATTTGCTATTTCCACCATGGTTACACAAGATTTTCTATTTTTAGATAACAATATAAAAAACTCATTACCCTAACACTAA